TGGAATTATTCGGGTTCGTGTTCCTCCAGGCTCGGTGCATCCAGGACCCGCTCCGCAACCTGGACATGGGGCCCAAGGGCTCAAGCTCCGTCTATCTGCTTGGGTCTCTGGGGCTTCACATAGGCCAAGGTGCTCTGGTCCGCGGGTCTTCCTGTGCATCTGGACGGGTTGGCAGTTTTCGTGAACGTCTTTGTGGTCTCCGATGTATATTCCAAGGGGCCCCCCGCTAAGTAACGCAATCGGTATCTCCAGTTGGCTCTTGGGTGCCACGATTGGCCCCCATATTCTTTGTCGTTCCCGCCCCTCTGTGGCTCAAGCCTGGATCTAGCAAGTTCAGGAGCAATGTATACGGCCCCGCATTGTGACGCTTCACGGCGACCTTGTGTGGAAATATCAAAATCGAAAAGGAGACGATTGAGAGACCGTCATGTTGCAATTCGTCAGGCAGCATCTCACACCTGTCATTTCAAAACATTTTTGTATTTCTGACGTTCTTTGGAAGGCGGACAACTACGTGTAGACGCTGCCGAATGCGCGCCTGTTCACTTTGGTGGGGACTTGGTTTGACATACTCCACGTGGCATGCGGAAGAACATGTCATGAGTGCATCGAGGCCACTGGTCTCAAATCTTCTTTCTGATCGGATCGAAATGTGCGACCGGCGTGCAATGTGAGAGCCTTCGGTGCCAGATTCCATGCCAGAATGCCCACAAACACCTGCATATTCAAACAAACTGGTCATGACCGAAGTTTCGATTCCATTTTGCGGGATGGATTCTCAAGCCGACGACGTCCAGGTACACGCACCAGAGACAGGAGAGGCAACACACGAGCTTCTAAATCTTCGCGAACGAATTGAACATTTCTTGAGTCTTTTTGCAACTGAGGTGTCAATCGACGCTGGCGTTGGATCATATCCTCCTGGCGAGGGTGTCTTGCAAATTATCCCTGAAGATTCCGACGACGAGGTGATGTTGGCAACGGAGGCAAATATGGATATGGATGCAATTCTCGTCGAGATCCGGAACGAGTCTGGGCGACAGTATCTGTTCTGGCAGCCAAGACACATTTCTCTAGGAACAATGTTTACGGCGTTCGTCGACAGATTCGGGGCAGGAGATTGTGGCGATCTAGCCTACTCTTTCTATATCGGCCCATTGATGCTTCCTGTTTCAACAGATTTGACAGCTGTTGATCTTGAGCTCACGGATGGTGTTTTGATTTGATGTGCAGATGACAACCAATACGACAATGTTGTGCCATTCAGTTAACAAGACGCGGCAGATAGACACCGTGCTGACCCCGGAACGTCTTCTTCATCATCTGAGGGGCCCTGGCCCCCCCGCCGACGCCTTCAAGGCACGCGGCCGCGCGTGGGCGCGGTTGCGGATATCGGCGCTCACACCGCGCACGCTGCACTGGTGAGCACACACATAGCACGCTCACGACGGCAGGCCAATTATCTAAGTGCCCCCACTTGGGTCGTCTTCGCGCACGGCATCGATCTCATCCTCGCGCGCGCCGTCAATGCGCTAGACGGCACCGCTGCACGCTTAAATCAGATAAGCAGATTACAATGAATCAAGCATGGCATGACAACCACATTGCAGGTGAGCGCACGCGACGGCAGGGTTTGTTCCTGCACATCTCGCAGCACGGCACAAGTTGCAACATCTCCTACAGCACAAGTTCGAAAGAGCGCGCTCGCGGTGCACTTCTCAGTAGAAGGGGGGGCCCAGCTCCAAGCAACCCCCCCCTCCCTTGGAAAAGTGAGGGGGGGGGGGGGGGGGGGGGGGGGCTTCCGAAGCCCCCTTTTTTCGTATGTTTTTTTAGCTGGGGGTGCCCTGGCTAAGGGGGGGGGGGGGCATTTTCGGGGCTTTGGGCCAGCCTGGGCCCCCTTTTCAAAGCGAGGGGGGGGGGGCTTCCGAAGCTACCCCCCCCTCTTATTGGTTGTTCCAACTGGAGGGCCCGGGCTAAAGGGGGGGGGTCGAAGCTATTTTTCTGTTTTGGTTTTCGGCGCTCCGTTGTTGCGGCGTACTTATGCTTTTCGACAGTTTTTTGGTGTTCGACGCCGCTTTGGTTTTCGGCACTCTTTGGGCTTTCGGCGCTTCCTTAGATTTCGGCGCCCCCGTGGTTTTCAGCGCTCCTTTGGTTTTCGGCGCCCATGTGGTTTTCGGCGCTCCTTTTGTTTTCGACGCCCTCTTTGGCAGTCTGCGAACCCTTTATGATTTTCGGCGCATCGTTGGTTTTCGGCGCCCTTCTGGGTTCCGGCGCCTCTCTGGTTTTCGGCGCCCTCTTGGTTTCCGGCCCCCCTTTAGTTTTCGGCGCCGTTTTGGTTTTCGGCGCTCTTTGGTTTTGAGCGCCCCTTTGGTCGTGGGCGCCCTTCGGCTATCTGCGCACCTTTCGTTGTTCGTGCCCTTCGGTGGCGCCCTTTTTTGGTATCGGCGCGTCTTTGGTTTTTCGGCGCCCTTCAGGTTTTCGGCGCATCGCTGGTTTTCGGTGCCCCCTAGGTTTTTGGTGCCTCTTTGGTTTTCAGCGCACCTTTGGTTTGCGGCGCTCCTGCGGTTTTTAGCGCCCTTTTGTTTTTGGCGCCCTTTTCTGTTTTCGGCGCTCTGTCCGTCTTCGGAGATCCCGTTGTTGTCGGCGCTTCTTTCGTTCTCGGCGCCCTTTTGCTTATCGGCGGCACCTTGATTTTTCGGTGCTCTTTTGGTTTTCGGCGCATCGCTGGTGTTCGGCGCATCTTGGGTTTTCGGCGTTTCTTTTGTTTTTCGGGGCCCCTCGAGCGTTCGTCACCCCTTTGGTTTTCGGCGCCCTCTTGGTTTTCGGTGCCCCTGTGGTTTTCGGTGTTCCCTTGGTTTTCGGTGCCATGTTGGTTTCCTGCGCATCTTCGGTTGGCGGCGCATTGTGGTGTTCTCGGCGTTCTTTTGGTTTTGGTCTGCCTTGTGGTTTTCTGCGTTTCGTGGTTTTCGGCTCTCCTTTGGTTTTCGGCGCCCCTTCGGTTTTCGGCGCCCTTTTGGTTCTCGGCGCCCTTGTGGTTTTCGGCGTCCCTTTGGTTTTCGGTGCTCCTTTTTATTTGTTCTGCACCTTTTGGTCTTCGATGCCCTCATGATTTTCGGCGCTCCTATGGTATTCGGCACGGTTTGAGGTTTCAGTGCCTTTTTGGTGTTTGGCGACCCCGTGGTTGTCGGCCCCCCATTGGTTTTCGGCGCCCCTTTGCTTTTCGGCGTCCTTGTCAAGTTCGGCGACCGCTTGGTTTTTGGCGCCCTCTTGGTTTTCCGCGCTCTTTGGTTGTCGGCGCCCTTTTGGTGTTCGGCGCTGCTGAGGTTTTTCGGCGCTCTTTGGTTCTCGGCGCCCTTTTGGTTTTCGGCCCACCGCTGGTTTTCGGGTTTTTTTTTGTTTTCGACGCCTCTTACGTTTTCGGCGCTCTTTTGGTGTTCGGCGCCCCATCTGGTGTTCGGCTCCCTTTTGCTTGTCGGCGCGCTTTTGGTTTTCGGCGCCCTCTTGGTTTTCGGCGCTCCCGCGGGTTTCGGCGCCCCTTCGGTTTTCCGCACATCCTTGGTTATCGGCGCCGTTCTGGTTTTCAGTGCCCTTGCGGTTGTCGGCGTTCCTTCGGTTTTCGGCGCCCTCTGGTTTTCGCTTCCTTTCGGTTTTCGGTGGCTCTTTGGTTTTCGGCGCCCCGTTGGTATTTGGCGCTCTTTGCTCTTCGGCGCCCCTTCCTTTAGCCAAAGGGGGGAGGTTCCAAGCCCCCCCTTTCCTTTTAGCCTTGAAGGGGGGGGGGGAGGGGGCAGGGGGCTTCCAGCGGAGGGGGGTTCAAAGTGTGGGGAGGGGGAGTCAAGCCCCCCTCCATTTGAAAAGGGAGGGAAGGGAGGGGGGGTCGCTTCTGGAGCGCGAAAAGGAGGAGGGGGGGGTAGCTCCCGAGGGGGGGGCGGGGAGGAGAGGGGGGGGGGGGGCTTCTGGCAGGCCCCGCGCCCTCGGGCCCTCCTCCGGGTGGTTTCCCTCGCTTCCGAAAGCCTCCGGCAGCCACGAGGCCGCCCCCGAGACCCGCAGCCGGCCCAGGGAGCTAGCCAGCGCACGCGTCGCCCCGCCGGGCGTGCTCCTCGCCGCGGCCCCCGGCGCCTCGGAGCCTCCGTCCCGGAAGCGCCCTCCCTCCCGCGACATCTGTGGTCGTGATAGGAGGCCCAGGCGCTGAGCGCCTCAGGCATTTGGCCCCTCCGTCCCTGCCTCCGCCCTCGCCTTGCTTCGCCGTCGTGCTGCCCTCGCCCTCCTCCCCGCTTCTGCTGGTGCCTCGTGGGGCGCCCGTGCTGCACAGTGTTGCCTCCTCCTCCCCGCCGACAACACCCGGTCGGTATGTGATGCCGCCCACCAGCTCGCGCTGCGACCACCGCGTGGGCCGCTCCCGTGGCGGGCAGCGTCTTCCTCCTCCTTGCCATCCACGCCCAGATGGCTATGGCTTCCGCTCCCTAGGATGGCGCCTGCCACGATCCGAAGCGATCCCGCTTGAGGGCCCAGCCGCGGGCGCCCGCTTCTGCTGCTTTCGGTTTACCCCGCCTCGTCGTTGCGCGCGAGGCCGCGACCGCCAAAAAGTGTACGTGTGTGTGTGTACAGAACGACTGGACTATTTTGCGAATTTAATTTTGAGTGTAAGTGCGAGCGGAAGGCAGAGTGTAAGTGCAAGTGGGGACCATGCGATGTCCAGGGAAGGAGGGAGGAAGGAAGGAGGCGTTGCGGAGGAGGCGGAGGCATACGAGCAACAAGAACCTCATATTTTGCAGATCGATGACAAATTCCGCACATGCGGGCCGGTTACCGCCCTGTCGCGCCCTGCCGATAGGGGAACGCCACATGGTTTGCCTAGCTGTTGGCAGGCAGAGACGGAGATAGGCATTCGTGGCTGCGTTCGTCGCTTGTCCGAGGCGAGGTAGACGGCCCAAGATGAACCGCCCATGAGACGCGACATCCATTCCCTTATCGAAGGAAGCCCTCCGCGACCCTTTTGGCTCAGGCGCCAGCCGCGGCACGCGGGCCGCCGGGGGCCGACCCGTCACGGCCTGGACCCGCTCGCACGTAAGAGTGACTCTTCGCCAAAGTGACCTTCGGTGCGGGCCCACAGGGGTCTCCCCAGCACGGGCCTGTGGATTTGGCCCCCCCGCGGCCCCCCCGAACCGCGCACCGAGCATCACTCTTGCCTAGGGCCACTCTTGTGCACAGCCGACTGGACGGCGGTGATTTCCGACCGAGCGGCCCACGGCCACCCGGCGCGCCCGAAGGACCTGCAGGGCCCGCCGTTCCCTGTGGAGGGTGGCAACCGCCGCGGCCCCACGCCTGGTCGGGGTGAACCAGGAGCATGGACCCGCCCGCCTCGACAGCGGCGCCGCCGGCGCTCCCCAACGGCGCCGCCCACCGGAGCAACTGGCCGCTCTTCGACCTCACCGACGCCACGGCGCGGCTCGCCGCCGCCGCGGCCTCGGAGAGGTCGCCACAGTCGCCACCGCCCACCGCGCTCGGCGATCCAGCGCTCTTCGCTGCCGCGGCCGAGGCGGCCGCGCTCGCCCTGCGGGCCGACTGGCGGGTCCCCCCAGCCGAGGAGAGGGAAAGCCGATATGACCCGCGAGCTCGGGGCGACAACGGGCTCGCCGACGCCGCGCCCGCCTCGCCAGCGCAAGGCGAAGACGCCGGCGGGCTCGCCGAGCCCCCTGCCCCAGAGCGGCCTTCCGCGGGCGCGGGCGTTACCGCACAGCCCAGCCAGCCCGCGCCGCAGGTCCCGCCGCGGCATGTGCGTGTTGGGGGGGCCCGGGCCACGAACTGGGTGGGAGAGCTGCAGAACCGCGTAGCCCGCAAGCTGGGGAGGTCGGTGAAGACAGGCGATATCGAGTTTCCAGTGGAAGAGCTGACCCGCCCACGCAGGTCCGCCGCACGCGGCGGCGACATGGATGGCAAGAAGGGCGGGCGGGGCGGCAAGGGCGGCAGCGTGCGCCCCGACCCGAAGGCGGATCCCATTTGGTACCGGTGCAGGATCAGGGTGCCAGAGCTCGGGGACCACCCCGAGATGGTGGGGCCTGCGCAGCCGAGCAAGCGGGAGGCCAAACGGGCTGCCGCGGAAGCTGCCCTGACGGACCCATTGGTCACAGCATTTCTGCCCCCCAGGCCGCAGGCCAATGCCCCTGCCAGCAGCTGCCGAGACGCGGAGGCCGTTGAGAGCACCGAGGAGGCGGACATCCACTGGCAGGGAGAACTGCCCACCGATTCGGCCGCCGCCAGCGGGCAGGGGGCCGCGGACTCGGCCGCTGCCGCGTCGCAGACGCGCCGCCAGGGGGCACTGCAAGCCGACGCGGCCGCCAGGATGAACACCGTGGGCGAGCTGCAGGAGGCGGTGCAGAAGCTGATGCGGCGCAGCGACGGCTGGAGCGGGGTGGTGAAGTACGTGGTGCGCCAGGACAAGTCGTTGAGGTACACGGCCACCGTGCACGTCTCCCACGCGGGGGGGACCCTCACCTTCACCAGCAGCCCCCACGTCAAGAAAAGGGACGCGAAGCGAGAGGCTGCAGAGGCTGCGTTCGCGGGTGGCACGCTGATAGAAGTGGCCGCCAACGGGCCTCGCGGCGACGATGACGTTGGCCCGGAGACCGACGGGGCTGCGGGAGACTCGCGCGAGGAGGAGAAGGAGAAGGAGAAGGATAAGGAGGGAGACGGCAACTGGCTGGAGCCAGCCGAGAAGAGCAATCTCTGCAAGTTGCAGGAGAGGCTGCAGGCGGGAGAGATTCGTTTCGGCCCTTCGCCGCTTCGGCCCCCGCCCAGCCCAGAATTGTTGCTCCCGCCCCGCTGCTTTCGGCTGCGGCTGATCTCGTGTGTGCGACTCTGTGCTTCTTTTGGTCCGACTCGGTTTCTTGAGCTGACAACTTATTTGAGCGTTAAGGCTTCGATTCGGCCCCTCTGTTTCGAACCCTTCTCTTCTACGGCCCTGGTTAATTCGCCGTGTCGCTCTTTCGGCCCCCACTGGCTGGCTTCCTGCTCATTCGGCCCTAGCGACTCGCCAACCCAGGACTCACTCTTCCACATCCGACCCTCCAGACCTTCATACCTCATACAGCTATCCCTCCACACCTCCTTGTCTCAATACCTGTACATGACCTCCGTGCGTCCATGCATCCGCACCTCCGTACACCCAACCGCTGATGCCTCTATCCTGTTTTGTCTCCATATCTGCGCACACACCTACCTCTAAGCCCACCATACACTACACCCTTACATGCCGCAATACCCCCAACTCGCCAAGCATCGGCGACCTTGCTCGAGCGTCCAAAAACTAAAGCACATGCCTCTAACATAGAAAAAGTGCCCGGATGTATTGATCCTCAGTCGACGACGACGACGACGACGACGACGACCACCACCACCACCGTGTTCGAGCGCCCAAAATCTAAAAGCACAGAATTGAAAACATGCCATGGCGAAGTACCCGACCATATGCAGGTGTGATTACCGCAGTTGTGAGTATGGTCTTCGGTGGAGCTCCCCATGGGGCCACGAAACGCGCGAGAGGCATGCCGAAATGTGGGGGGGCACATTCGGACCCCTCCGTCTGGTGCCTTCGGTGGAGCTCCATATGAGGCCACGAAACGCGTGGGAGGTGTGCCGAAACGGGCGTGACGCCCACGTGCGAACACTCCTTCTGGGGCCTTCGGTGGAGCTCCCAATGGGGCCACGAAACGTGTGAGGAATCTGCCGAAACCGGCGTGACTCCCACATGCGAACGCTCCCTCTGGGGCCTTCAGTGGAGCTCCCTATGACGCCACGAAACGCGGAAGGAGTGTTCCGAAGCGGGCGTGACGCCCACATGCGAACGCCCCCTCTGGGGCCTTCGGTGGAGCTCACAATGGGGCCACGAAGCGCGTGAGTGTTGTGCCGAACCGGGCGTGACGCCCACATGCGAACGCTCCCATCTGGGACCTTCGGTGGAACTCCCTATGGGGCTACGAAACAAGTGAGGAGTATTCCGAACGGGGCGTGACGCCCACATGCGAACGCTCCTTCTCGGGCCTTCGCTGGAGCCCACGGGGCCCGGGCCACGAAACACGTAAGGGTTGTGCTGAAATGGTTGGCATGCGGAGGGCAGAGGCAGGTATGGGATGAGGGGAAAAGAGAGGAGAGGAATAGGAGAGGAGACGTAGGGCGCTGTCTGTTTAAAACGAGGACCCAACACCAAGCGATGGCTGGGAATAAAAAGTGCCCCGGTATGTCGATCCCGGGTCGATGACAATGACGTCGACGACGACGACGACGACGAAGGCCATTCTACAGTGGGCGCGTCAATCAAGAAACGTGCTTGTCAAAGGGCGCCCCACAATAGTTTCGTATCTCCCAATGGGCCCGCTAAGCTCTGAAGCACCTTACGAGACTCAGAGTCGACGAAGGATGTGCCCATAGATGTCACTAAACCAAGGTTCTTATCATCTGTGCCTGCTACACTTCTGCAGCGTACTACAGCATCCATCCTCCTTGGCTGTGCCCGTGGGCTGCCCGAGCTCGCGCTCGGCCCTCGCTACGCCGCCAAACCAGGCGGCACTGGCCTCATGTTACGGGGGTACTTTCCCCGATCCGTGGATCTGGCACCCACGCGCCAGATCCACGGATCATTGATCCATTGCAGGTAATGCCCGAAAGGCAAGGGCGCCGCTGCGCTCCATCCTCGGAGAGGCATGGGGAGTGGGAGGGTGGCGGAGGGGGCTGGAGAGAGGGGGAGGATCCTTCTGCTGCTCCTTCGCCTCCTTCCCCTTCTCCTCCCCCTCTTCCTCCTGCATTCTCCTCATCCTCCGTCTTCTCCTCCTCCGCCTCCGCCTCCGCTTCTGCCTCGTCCTCCCCCTCCTGCTGTCCTCCTCCCCCTCCACCACATAACCCTACATTATTATTATTCTTTATGGATAGCTGCTGCTCGTCGCACCACCAGACGTGTACGTAGGGTTAGCTGAGCATTTCGCCTCACACTTCCGCACTGCGTGTGGCTGGAAGCTGGAAACGTTCAACAACATGTATCTTAACGAAGAGCCCAACCATACGCAGTTGAGAGTACCGCAGTTGTGATCGTGTTCTTCGGTGGATTTTCCCATATGGTCACGAAGCGCGCGAGGTGCATGCCGAAATGGGGGGAAGAGGGCGCATGCGGAGCGCGCCATTAGTGTTTTCGGCGGAGCTCCCGTTGTGGCCACGAAGCGCGTGAGGAGTGTGCCGAAACGGGCATGACGCCCACATGCGAACGCTCCCTCTGGGGCCTTCGGTGGAATTCCTTATGGGGCTACGAAACAAGTGAGGAGTATTCCGAACGGGGCGTGACGCCCACGTGCGAACGTTCCTTCTGGGGCCTTCGGTGGAGCTCCATACGGGTCCACGAAGCGCATAAGAGTTGTGTTGAAATGATTGGCATGCGGAGGGCAGAGGCAAGGATGGGAGGAGAGAGGACGAGAGGGGAGGAGGAGAGGAGACGCGGGGCGCTGCCTCTTCAAAACGAGGCCCCAACACCACATGATGAATAGGAACAAAATATGTTTCTCGAGTTCGCGCCACGCACATGCAGCTTTAAAGTTTCCACCAACTACAAGGTGAAGGTCACATCGCTTTCAAATTGCGGGTTTCGGGCTACCGCCGCGCATATAATGTTTCGAATGTTCCGAGGATGAGGGGCGGGTGGTTTTGAACATGCGGCTATCGCCCCAACGCCGAGCAAAGTCGCCTTCAAAACTTCAAGCAGCTACAAATATGCAAGGCGGGCAGTTTCCAAGATGGTGCACTCGTTTGCGAAGTATTCAGTGTGCGCGGCTATAAGCTGGAAGTACTCAACATCTACACGGGTGGAGGATGGATCCTTTTCAAAATGGATTTCTCGTTTGAGATTTCCTCCAGCTGTCTCTAGAGGTTTACCCCATCCTGCCGACTCCTGGAAACGAATTCGTGCATGGCGTGTGTGTTGTTTGCCATTTCCGCTCTTGTTGCCTGCGTGTAGTTCTGGTTGGCTCTCTTTCTATCTCCGCATCTGTTGCAGGGCTGTCGACCGGCCCCTTGGAGACCCAGGGGGCGGTTTGGAGCATGTTCAGGGCTCTGGGTCCAGTGGGAAGGGGTCAGAGCGCGGGGGGACGGCCAAATGCCGCACCCGCCACATCAGCCTCGGCAGGAGGGGGTCGGCGGTTTTGTGAGGGTATCAGGCATATGTGGCTCGTCGACCAGCTGAGACAGCGTATATAGAGAACCCAGTGGCTAGGCGCATCAGTGGTTACTTGAAGGCAGCCCATGCCTGACATAGGCCAGCACCTAGTTGGGATTGAGTTTCTGCCCGCCTTCCGTTGTTGTAGATTTCTGGTGATGTCAGGCGCATTGCCTCCCGTAACCAGCTTGCTATCGTGCACCATTCTAGTGGTATTACCATAGAGGAGTGCATATAGTTTTCTGCAGCCTACTGGGGGGATTCGGGAGTAAGTCAGGTACACGGACTGCGTTCGGCACGCGTCCGCTAGCCGTGAAGTTGTGATTGGCAGTTTCTTGTTTCTGTGTAGCGGGCCGTCTTAGACGCGCCGCCATGGGCGTTGTGAAGACCCAAAAGCGACGATTCAATAATTACAATTAGCCTCCGCGATGGTGGCGATTTGTATCTTCTTAGTGCCCTGTTGAGGGTCCTGCTGGAGCTTTCTTCGGGCGTCTTGAAGACTTCCTGGGCCATCTCGAAGCCATCTTGGGCACTTGTAAGGCCTTCTGGGAGTGCTGGCGTTTTTTTATTTATCGTGGGGACCTTTTGGGAGCATGTTGGGGCTCTTCTGGGCCATTTTTGGGGAAGGGTCCCTGGGGGCCTTTCGAGTTCCACCTCTTGCGGTCCTCCTGGGGCCTTCGTGGGCTGTCTGTCGTGCCTCTTCGGCCGATCTGGGGACCCTCTTGGCTGGAATTGGGGCCCTCTTGGGGGGCCGCGGTCCAGTTTGGAACGATATTGGGGGCGCTTGCGGACTAGAAAACCGATTATGCAAAACCTATGATTCTCCGAATGGTGAATGACGTGTTTTGCCTTCTTAGAGCCCTCTTGGAGGTCCTGTTGGAGCCCTCTTAGGGGCAAGCCCCTTGGGCCGTCTCGAGGCCATCTTGGACGCGTCTGAAGCATTCTGGGCGCGGCGGCGCCTTTTGTTGAGCTATCTTGAAATGAACGTGGGGCGTCTTAGAGGCGACTGGGGCTGTATCTAGAGAGGCTCTGACAGCCCCAGAGGGTCATTAACGAGCTCATAGAGACCTGCCCCCCCCATACACACACACACACACACACATCCACACACACCACACCACACACACACACACACCCTCAAACGGCAGTCTGGAATCTGCGGAAGGGGGACAGCCAATCATCTCACACACATTGTCACCCGTGGCATGCAGGGGTCGGCGGAGATAACCTCAAGATTAAAGTTTGATCAGTCGCACAAACGGGGGAAGTCTCCTCCTTCGAATTTCACGATCATGCATATTTGCATGCCTGGAGGCACATGAAGTCGCCCCCTGCACAGAAGAGGCATGCTTGGAGGGTGTTATGACGTGGGGACCTGGGACGGGGGGGTGCATTGCATCACTGTTGACGCATATTGGACTGATTCAGGTTGTCCTCCTCCCCCTCATCCTCCTCCTCCCCTTCCTCCTTCTTCTCCTCACCCTCCTCCTCCTCCTCCTCCTCCTCCTCCCGCCCTCTTCCTCCTCCTGTTCCTGCTCCTGTTCCTCATCATCAGC